AGAAAGCTCAGCGTGAGCCACCAGGCCCCCACGTCGGTGCCAATGCCCACGCTGGTTTGGGTGGCAAAGAAACCTGAAGGGGACAGAGCCCGAGGAGGGGTTGGGGTAACAGCAGGGAGCAAGGTCTGCACGGCGCAGCACCAGCCTTCCGCAGTCCAAACGCAGCAGGCGAGGTGCGAGGAGAGGTCCTTGTGGTGGGACTCGTGTGGGCGTGATGAAGGTAGACGCTCGAAGGGGATGCGAGCAGCCCCTTGTTTTGGCAGCCAGGGTCCCTCCCTGCATCCCAGGTGTAGCAAGCTGCCGTGGCAGTCAAGGAGCTGGTGCTTGGCTGGTTGTCCTCAACCCGTGGCACTCGTGGAGCGAGGCTTTCCTGCGGGCTCGGTGTGCTCAGGCAGCGAGCGTGCTCTTATTCCCGGCCCCCACGACACGCGTCACCCGTGCCGCCCGTAGGTTGGGGGGATGGAACATCTGCGTGTGCTGGAGCTGATCTGTCCACATCATGGTTATTCGTTGGGTCAAAGTGGGCTAGGCCTTGGTGGCAGGTAGGAGAAGCCTCTTGGCGGCAATGGTGGCCCTGGTTCTGAATCCCCTGGTATTTCCTGTCCTGTGCAACGCCTGTTGCGGAGCGGCAGAGAAATTGCTGCGTGGAGTTTGCCGAGAGCGAGCGTAGGTGAAGAGCACGTGGCAAGCAAAGCGTAGGTCTGTGCCCAAGCCTCGTGTGGTGTGGAGTGTCACTGCAGAGGAGGGGTGGCCGTGACAGCAGCGCGGGAGGGGGAGCATCGCTCTCCCGGCAGCCTCGAGCACAGGGGTGCAGGACGTGGTGGGTGGCGGCAGGGTGGAGCGGCGTTGGCGAGGACGCAGGAGGAAGAAGCGAGGCCACCGTGGTTAGCAGAGGGCTAATTATAGCCCCAGGAGCATCGTGCTGCAACGAGCCCTCCTCGGCTCCTGCAGAAGTGTTGGGCTTAGAGAAGATGGCGTGAGGCAGCAAACCGGGTGGTAGAGCGTGACAAGGGCAGTGCAGTCTCCTGGTGGGAACAAGCGTCTGGGTTGTGGCGCAGTCAATCAGTGCATCGGCCATAGCAGCGACCTCCCAGGGGTGGGAATGGGCCGTGCTTCCAGGGAGCGAGCAGGGGGAACCCTCGGCCGGGCCCTAGGAGCCTTGCCGAGGGGATCTCTGAGGCCACATCCCCTAGCCAGAGGCGAGCGCGGGTCTGTGGGTGCGAGGCAGAGCTGTTGCCGACGGGTTTCTCCTTCCCCAGGACCCCCCCCTACAGCGAGACTCCCTTGGCTTTTGCAGGGCTGTTGGCTGCTCTCGGGATGCTGGTGGAGAATGGTCGGGAAACCGCACAGAGGAACGAGATGTTACAGGTACAGACGCGTGTGCGTCTGGGAACCGAGGTGACTGGGAATCTTTCTGTCACTGGGCACGATGGTGGTGGTAAGGGAGCCCGTGTGGGAGCCAGACAGGGATGGCGCAGTAGCAGCGGTCCTGGGGTCGGCAGTAAACGCAGGCGAATGGAGAAGACGGAGGCTGCTGTCAGCGTGTCGGCGTCCGTATCCGTAACGCGGCAAGGATGGAGCAGATATCTCGTGATGGGATTGGTTGTTAGTGGAAGTACGCAGGATGTTTATCTCGTGTTCTCCTGCTGACGGACTTCCTTTAACACCTCGGTATCTGCTGGTTCCCCGTAGGGCCAATTAGAGAGGAGCCGCGAGTCGCAGGCGGCTTTGCTGGAGGAGAACATGAAGGAGCTGGAAGCGAAACACGAGCAAGACTTACAGATGAAAATCAAGCAAATCATAATGGAGAAGGACAAGGAGAACACAGAGGTACGGCAGCAGCGTGTTGGGTTGTATTTTGTATTTTTTTAGGAATATGACTGTCACGCAGGAGAAATAGGTGTTGGTAACGGGGTTGCCTGGTGAGAGGAGGGAGCCTCTCGTCATGACCTGTCTGGGTGCGGTCCCGAGAGCTTGGACATCAGGAGTCCTCCTCTATGGATGGGGGTGAATTTGATGGGCTAAAGAAGCCAGGGTGGAACGGGCAGGCGCCTGGGCGATGGCAGGCGGCGCTGCTGGCGGGCGGTGCCCGGGAGGAAGCAGAAAGCGAGGAGCAGCATCCGGAGACGTGAGCTTCGTTAGACCCCGCATGGCCTGTAGCAAGTGGAAGGCCAGCGCAGGCAGGC